CAGTGTTGGGCTTTACATGCTCTACAAAATGCAAAAAAGAATGGGTCTCTAGCATTAACGGTTCCCGAATTAGAGACAGTTTTCAGTTTCGGTATCTTATGGCCGCTACTCCTGTGAAAATGCACCGATTGACCCCAAATTCACGGAGATGAAAGATGACCTGAAGGGTAACACTTTCCAATAATATTATTGGTTAAGTCTGTGTGGTGTCTGAATAACAGGGCAAAAAATTTTTTTTTCGTAAAAAATTTCATTTTTTTGAAAATTTTGGCCCATTTGACCTTGAAGTAAAGGTCAAAGGTCAAATCCGAGGGTATATTTGAAATCTACACATATGACTTTTGGAAAGCCGTCTGTAGAAATTTTTCCCGTAACTCCTTCCGTAGGGTAGATAATTAGCATTTAATTTTGCCATTTTTGGACAAGGGTGCATTGCAATGAGTGCCACACCCAGACCCCAATACCGACAAAGCCCAAATTTTACGTGGAACGAGTTGAGATTATAGGTGACCTAAATCCATGAGATGGGTATGGGGGGCCTTACCGTCTAGGAGGAGAAGCGGTAACGGTAGCCGTCCGGCGGAGCCGGCGGAGCCGGCGGAACGATCCGGACGAGACCGAAACCATGTGTACCGCCAGCGCTAACGCTGGTGGTACAATTATATATTACTTCCACTAATGTGCAATTAATCCTTTTAACTGATTTTAATTATAATATCTATAAAGGTAAAGAATATTAATGCACTAACAAGATACCACATACCACAAAATACTATCAATTATAATATACAATGCAAAGTAAACTATAAAAGGCCTTTAAAATGAAACTGATGTGGGTAAACAATATTTCACCCACTTTAGCATTCTTTTAATTAATTTTCTGCTGACATCATCCCAGCTTTAATAAGCCTGGTCAAATAATCTTTCATATATACATAAATACTTATATACATTTTCCTCCTGGGATATGCATTTCTTGTCCAACCTCTTCACCGAGTTATTAGCTTTGAACCTATTTAATATCTTAAAAGAGAGTTGTTGCTTCCCCAAATCTCTCTCTCTCTCTTTCAGACATATACCCACACACACAGTACACACATGTGCACATGCACACTAACACAAACATACACACCCATGCACATGCCTTACCTTATAAGCATACACTATCTCCTCCCTAAGGAACTTATTGTCCCCAGCCTTCTTGTCCATTAGTCCCCAGTCCATCTTGATATCCCAGGTGTAAGTATAAGCAGTACTCAGCACTGCCGCGGCCACCCACAGGTAGAAGAATAAATTGTTTTGGATCACAGCATGCCCATGTTGGTCTAAAAAAGAAAACAAGATGGATATTCAGATAACAAATGTTCATTTGTCTTGCCTACATATGCCAAAAGCATAAAGAAACTGACCAAAAAAGAACAGTCGATATCAACATGATAACATAGTCTTAAAAGATGGAATGTTGATAAAATTGCTTAAGAAGTGCTGATTATCAAAATTATGTTCACTGACTTTAAAAAGCCTTATAAATATGTCATAATTTAAACTTCATCAAGTGACAGTGTGTCCATAAAAATTCTAGAGGCAACATGTACACTTCTGTGTGACATTCTGCAAATTCGGGAAATACTTGCAAAAACAGCTTCTTATACATTTTAACAAGACTGTTCTATTCGTCACTGGTATTACTATAGTCACCTTTATACCAAGCATTCAGCGATGAGAACAGCACCACAAGGAAAGTAGTAGAATATTTCCCTGCATTGACTAAATGGGGAAACACCAGTTTTGAGTCTCGATAACGACGAAGGCACTGGGCAAAGCGCCACCAGGCAGGAAGAACAGCAACAATGGCAGTGGATATATGTACTGGCAAGCTGTGTGAGCAAATCCCTGGCTCTAAAACAAGCATGGAAAATATGATAAATTTAACTCACATTAACAAATGAAATATCCACTAAATCCCAAGATATATACTTTTGTTTAAGTTTCTTTAAAATCTGACAACATCATACTGAAAATTTTGATTTTTACCACCTTGACACAGCAACAACTGAACAGGTGTTTCTGGTTTTAAACATGTAACACGGTGTATTATACCTTCAGTTTTTGACTTTTAATATTCAAATACATTAAGACAAAAAAAAAAAGTTATCACAGAAAGTCTTAGAGACATTTTATTCATTTATATGATATAACTGTTGTGAAATCAAAATTAATTACAAATTACACTGAAAAAATCTTTATCCTGAAAGGGTTATCCTTTATAAGCAGTTTATTAAAAGATAATTACGTTTAGCATCTCCCAGCCAGTCCACCTCTGCAACATAATAACATATGAAATACTGCAGGTCCAGTATCACCAGGGTCAGACTGTTCAGCTGGTCTGCCAGCCAGAAATCAGCAAATTCTACATGGTAGAAAGGAGCAGCTATGATTCTCCACTGTAAGAATAGAAGAACAAAATGAGTTTAAAAAGGTTTTTGTTTTATTGTAGTTATGTAAGAATATAAGGCAGATTGATAACCTAAGAATAGCAAGGCTGGGTTGGGAGAGGGGTGGGGAAGCAAGTTTCAATAAATACATTTTCGTGAAGGTTTGTCCTACAAAACTGTGGTGAAAAATGTAATAAAACAGTTGCAGGAGATCAATGTTTGGACAGGCGGCAGTGTAAACCTAGCTAATACCACAATTAAATTAAAATCTAATTAATTCAAAATTATCTACATATATTCATCTGTATTATCAAATCAAACAGCTTCTTTTCATATTCTGGTAACATATTCATATGTGAAAACAGACTGATGTCATGTTCATTATTTTCCAGTTCTAAAGCATTTTATCTTTTGCTAGGTAACCAAAATATGAAACCCATAGGGCAAAATATCTGAAACAGCTGAAAATGCACCAACTTGTCTGATTTTAATACCCAACTGATCACAATTCAAACACATAGCGCGCTTCAGAACAGTGAACTAACAGATCTGGGATCAAGTATGGCCGACCAACTTGAATGCTTGTTGCATAATCCCAACGGGAAATCTATTCCGTCTCTAATCAGGATATAAGCAGCAAGCTTTTAAGTGGGTCGCCATATTTGATCTGCGGATCTGTCCATCTGCTGCTCTGAATGTGCTCATAGAAACCTCCCTCACTCACCAAAATCCTAAGCAGCCAGAACCTTGACTTTTTATGCAGCACAGGCAAAGGGTTGACTAGATACAGGAACAAGAAGCCCACTAAAGCCAGTGGGTTGGCAAACACTGGGATGAAATAGAACTTGAGATAGGCCATCAGGCTTATGGCCCAGATCACAGAAAAGAAACAGGCAATCTGAAACAAATAATTCAATAAAAATAGGACTGTTATGAATTTTAATGCATTTTCATTTTTTAGAAGGTTAGTGTTAATTTTTTCTATTTTCTGAGGCTCAGGCAAGATTTAGCAGGGATTTTTATTCTGGCCAAGCAAAATTTAAGAATTTATATCAGGTATGTTTTGATATTGTTTTGGCTGAATGGAAAAGTAGCATTTTCATGTGAGGAACATTCAAAATCTATTGTAAGGGATCATCCTGCCCTAATAAAGCACTAGCTTTTGGATTTTATTGCTACACGTTATTGGTATATTACCTCATAAATCTGCTGATGAGAAAGATGATTTCTTGGGTCGAGTTCAAATATAAGTACATGGTTGACCCCGGATGACCTCCATCCATATGTGTCAATCCCAAGAAGAAAGAGGAAGAAAATGATCAGGAATGTGCCACGATACATCCGCAGTGCTGTTTTCCAGTCAACTTCCTCGGTGTAAATAGCTAAAATGAATGAGACCACGTGCACCAAAATCAAAATATCTGAAACTGTGATGCAAGATAAAATGAATAAATAAATAAATAAATATAAAAAGTGCAGCACATGGTATATACCACCATTTGAGTAATCTGTCTCCATTACCTAGTGGCTCAACATGGCACTCTCAACCTATGTTATGCCGTGTGTGTGTGTGTGTGTGTGTGTGTGTGTGTGTGTGTATGTGTGTGCGCGCGTTCTTGAGCCCTCAGTCATAGCATATGCTGAGCTTTTGACTAAAATGTTGCAAAGACAGTAGGGCAGCTTGTAATTCATTGTGTGTGCCTTGTTTGAGACATATTTATCAACCTTAGTACTTACTGCCTTCTCTACATGAAACTCAACTTTAATTTAGATGTTACTTTTAGTCTGAAGGACATATTGGCTATGAAAAAATGAATGCTCGGTGGCCACATGTTAAGTTGCACTTCATTCCATTTATCTGAGGTATGCTGTTAATCCCCCCCCCCCCCCCCAAGCAAATGTCAACACCCTACCTGATATTATCACTGTCACCACCAAGACAATAAAGATCCCTGAGAATAACCCAACACGAAATGTTGTCCATGGAATTTGCTGGAAAATATGTAAAAATTTATAATTAATCAGTTATTTGATAAAAATTGGTTTTAATTTCTCAATTATCAAGGTGAGCATCAAACTTATTTTTGATGTAAGTTTTGATCTAAGCTGATGTGTCATACTAATTTTTGATCTAAGTTACTGATCTACTCTGTTTCCTTTCTACTGAAGCACAGCCAAAAATGAAGGGGTCGGGTCATAAAAACAAAGATAACAATATAAGCATTTATCATTCATCTCTCTCTCTCTCTCTCTCTCTCTCAGACACACATACACAATGGACTGTTGAAGAATAACCAACCTGATCTCCTAAGGGAGGGACACGCAATCTTTTCATTGCTTTCTGCCTGTCTCCTTCTTCTAATTCCGAAGTGACAGTATTCTGCAAGTTCAATTCAAGCCATGATTAATTATTATTCTTTAAATCAATGGGACATTCCAATGTTGAAGGCTCAAAACAATATCACGGTCTAAAGAAAATCATATCTATCTAATTTACTTAATATGGGAAATAATATGACCAATTTCAAACATGATACATAGGGAGAAGTGGATTTTGATCTACCTCTGTTTCTGAGATCAACCTTTCCACCTCCTTGCTGGTATAAAATGGTGCTACTTCCACATGGGCTTGCCTCCATTCTGCTCCACTGTTGGTTTGCAGCAGCTGTAAAATATTATAAAACTAGAGGATCAGAGAGGCGATACCGCCTCCGGATATTGTACCACCAGCTGGAGTAAGCGCATTCGTATGGAAAACCAAAAAAAAAAAAAAAGGGACACCACCTCCAGACTTGTGCTTAACAAGCTCTATAAAATGCAATCAACAAGAGT